GGCAGTGTGATATACAAATCTGCATTCTGTTCGAGAGACAGTTTACTGCATTCACGAAATCGATCAGATATGGTAAAAATTAAAAAAATATGAAACCGAACGCAAGGTTTCAACCAGTACTTGAGATTTTGACGATATCATGTTAGATGGCAATCGTAAATGCCGTTTATATCTACTTGAAAATTGTCTAGATCTTCACTTCTCCCGACTTTGTTTTACAGTACAGCATGAGACGGACCAAATCAAGTCGACAGCGCGAGATATTTTGCTGCCTTAATCAGTTGCAGACTCAGAGCTCCACGCAAAGTGGATACGCCGATATCGTCTTACAGTCGGTATACATCTGCGAACATCATTCCATTGTGTCAGACGACACGAAGTGGAACCATGGCTCAAACAGCGAAGAGTTTATCTGGACCGCCTCAAACTCAGGCGACTGCCTGGGGTTTTAATAAAACTGACTGGTTAGCCGACGAGGCCAGAAATGATTACTCCGGTCTTCACGTCTACGTCGGTAAAACTATTCGATTGCCGACCGATATTCATTATGTGACCGATTGTGTAGACAGTAGACACAAACCGTCAAGCCCAAGTGGGACTGCGCGTTTATAGACTGAAACCGGAGCACATTGGCGTATGTTTCACTGGTGTGACCTTGTAATGTCCTTATTAAACATCTCCTCAGGCTTATTTGTTTCTACATACATAAGTCAGTTTGACAGTGGATTTTGTTATCAGGGGCGCTCTGTAGATGTGTTCTGAGAGTGATAACTTTTCGTGAGTTTATCTTCTTTATTTTGTTTCGTAGCCCCCTAATGTACAACTAAATCCTAACCGGCCGCAGATGTGGACATTTCTATCGATAGATTGGGATGGAACAAACTAGTTCCAAAGCAAAGAAATCAGTCTGAATATTTCCCCAAAAATCTTTTTCTTCAAAAATACCAGCGTCGGCAGTCGAATTATCCCACTGTCTTCCTTAAAGTTTACGTTAACGTTCTACTGTAGGTAGCATATGGGGATAATATAAACGTGAGCAACTACTACAGCAGATTACATATGAGGACATAATACATGATGAAACTGAGCTTCAGAGTTGTTTCGCAGTAGGCCTTGCTCATCAGCACGGTTTAGGAGGGTAAAATGGATCGCATTCACCGTGACTAGAGTCTGCACCCTGGCCCTACTGCGCATCATACGAAGTGAACCAATCGTCTTCCGGCGTTATCATCGGATTCCCTGATCGAGAGTCCGAATCGCAGATGGATAGGAAAGAAAGACATTCTGACAGGAAGAAACTACGAGTGAAGAAAGATGAGTACTTACCTTAGCGCAACAGTCTACTCCCTAATTCGCCGAGTTGAGAAAGATTCCCTCCGTCCATCAACGCTGATTACGGTCGAGGGTCTTGCCGAAGAGACAGAGAGATCGATTGCGATTTGGGCTGCCTCGGATCCGAATATATGCCTCACAGCCCACGGAAGAAAACGAGTTTCTATGGTTTATACTGTAAGCTGCTTCTACTAAAGTCGTGCAGTCAATTACCGAAACAGTGATGAGAATAGCTTTAAACCTACCGGTGCTCATTAAGAACTGAAGCTTCTTTGCTTGTCCCCGACTTCTAGACATCAAACTCCACTCAGCACTAAGTCCCTGGCTTGTGTATCATCACCATCGAACTGGGAAGTGTAAGAGAATGCCAAAAAGCGGCCATGGAGGAACAGGAAAATTTGACACCTGCGCCAGAGTAAGGAACGTTAGGTATCTCGTTCTCACGAATCAACAGCCTCTATCTTACGAGCCCTAGGTAAGGAAGCAAAAGTTGAATAAGGTCGATATTCAAGATGTCCAACGACCTGGCCATAAAGCACGCAAGCGATATGAAGGTTGGCCCCAAGTGGCGGGTACAGCATGATAAAACAAACGGGGTGGGAATATTAGGGGTCAGTTTGCCTGACACCTCGACACAAAGTGTCTGAATCAACTTTGATTTTTCTATTTTCCAAGTGAGCTGGATCCGATATTTGATCCGTGGCCAGTCAAATAGTGAACAAAGCATTGTATCTTAGCGAGTAGTGAAGCATTTAACGCCTTCTGACGAAGGTTCATCCGCTGATTCTGTAGATATGGTAGCAAAATTAATTTGATCAAAAGACACCCGTCACATGCTATAAAGGAGTTGTTATTTAACTCTTCCGTGGAAAGCAGTTTTACGGCGTCTAAGGAGTCCACTGTAACATCAGCAAGCTTACTTTATATGAAAAAATCCGGCGGCAAACTTAAAGGTATCTGGGTGAATTGAGTCGTTTCCAAAATAAACGATTGCCATCAAATTTTGAAGGTTATATAAACAAAAGGGAACTTGCCTTGGTACTGTGCTCCGTTAGTCACGCACGCCTTCTAGATATTTTTTTAAATACATGCCGAAGAGGCAGAAATTACTGCGAATTTCGGAAGCTCTGCTAAGTAGGCAGCCCGTGGGCTCAATTCGAGGACGCATCAACAACCAGAAAGCCTACCCGAGACAGCGCACACACGTGTTAGCGATTGCATGTTTTGCAGTCGAAAATGGCGTTACGACTGCCTTTGACCATAGCAAGCTGTATGGATTCGCTCCTGCTAGCGGAGAGGTGAATATAAATCAACTTGAAACCCTGTTTAATTGATAAAGACGGCTAAAGCATTTATTGCCAAGATATTTATGAGGAGCTGCCCATGGTCATTAATCACTAGTCCTGTTTTGGGGTGATGCTGAGGAAAATTGCGTTCGCTGAGAAAACTTCAAGAAAATGCATGTTATCGCCAGCTGGCAAAGAATAGAGAGACAAACTCTGCAGTCAGACAAGAGGTTTGTGGAAACGGGCACTGCTCGAAGGACGCGGGGAAGCAAAGAAAGGAGAAGAGAATGGTACAGACATCGATAAAGTCATTGGGCAGCGGTCCCCCTCGTAAATTCGAAATGTCCCTTCCCGGTCTGCACCCGCTGGCCGGCATCCATTTTATATATGTATATACATAAAGGGCACATCTAGAAATCCCGCGTCCTGAGGATTGAAGACGCTGGTATGTGACTCTGATGAGAATTCCACCTATCAGCGAGGATGAGGATGCATTCATTTGGTACCCCGCACATGAACTCCAACGAATCACCTGCGTAGACCAAGGAAAAACGGATAATTCTCACATGAGTTCTCACCCTTTCTGGCGTTTATGTGCGGAAGCCTTCTGCTGGTGGAGCGATGCAGACTGTTCACATGTTCTGTGTAGGTCATCAGAGTGGGTAATTAAAAATCACCTGCATTCCAGCTCATCCTTTCAAGACTCACTTGGAACTGCATCCAATTTTTGGCTGCAGTTTATGTTTTCCAGGCTCTGCTCTGTGATATGTTATTGAGCAGACAAAAGGCCATCAAGAGGCAGACGATTATAAACAATTTTTTGAGCGGCAGTCAATTCTCGGGTAGTATAAATGAATGACCAATATTGCCTTCGAAAAGGGTAATTAAGCAGGCAGAGGGTGGTTACCAACACGTTTATCATCCCCCAGATACTACAGTTGAAGATCACGTATTACAGTACTTTCTTATGCCTGACGGTGGTGAGAGGATAAACTTTTGCGGGAAAGTATAACGCCCCGAAAAGCGTCAGTGTCATTCGCAGTCAGCAGACTGGCTTTAGTTGTCTCCTTTTAATATGTGTTTTTTGGCAGATTTTGAATAAGTCATTTTGAGCCAACTGTGAAGGCTTGAGTACAGCCAACTCCCTAACAACCTGAGCTAAGAGGCCCCGACCACGAGCCGTGAGTTTAATCCCATTTGGGTCAAGTTACCAGGCCAACCTACTGCAAAGTCTGTATTCCACCAAATCTGATACAGTAAGCTGACTGCTCAAACAGGATTTCCTCAGTAATCCATCTAGAATCAACCAGATGACCATTAGACTCATGTCATTAGTAGGCGTTTTGGCAGATTTTGAATAATTCATTTAGACGCAACTGTGATTAAACTCACTGTTCCAGGTCGGGGCCTCGTAGTTCAGATGGCTAGAGCGTTGGCTGTACTAAGGCCTTCTCCTTGCTTTCGTGGGTCCAAATTCCACCGAGGCCGCCGACGTTTTTACAGCTGGGTGAAACATAACTTCCCTTGTCTTTAAAAAGAGAAGACCGTATGCATGTCTATTTTTGCTTTGTGATCTGTCGATGAGCAAACTACTGAAGTCTTTTGACGGAGGCCCTAAGAACACTGAATCACACCGGAATGGTGTTAAATGTGTATCTCAACCAGCGACGGCGAGAAGAGTCTGTCAAAACAATTGAGTTGATGTGTTGGAGCACCTGGTGTCCGTGAGAAGAAGAGTTAGTAGCCTAGCCTACTTGAGGTTAAGCTTTCATCTTGGCACACCACTGCATGATTATACTGATGCCTGAAAGCAGTAAAGAACCTCTGTAATTCGCCATCTCGTTTAAATGTTAAACTTTTCGGGCTGAAATTGAAAAAATCTGGCAGATTATGTTGGATTTTTGTTCTTATGCCGAATAACAATGCTTCTGTTTCAGTAGGTCTCAGTCGTTTTCGCTGCACACGCTCGACTTCGCGCTGCACTTTTGGCAAGACAAGGGAAACTTCTACGCACACAGGGTCCTCTGATTTTTCAAAAAGCGTCATTTTTGTGTATGACGCAGAGCACCATTGAGTGGAAAAGTTTGTGTCGGTTTAGCGTATTCGACCTAAACTTGACGTAAACATTATCTTTTTACAATGCAGTCAGCGTTGCGCAATTAGGCCTTACGCGTTCACTCATTGCCTACAACGCTCATAGATGCGGTTACCGAGTAGGAGCTTCACTTTCCGAAACCCTGAATAGCAGTGGATTTCAAAAGGCAATTTGGCGAGCCTACGTCTGCTTTCGATAAATTCTCCTCAGGTCTGTACATTTATATGGCTATAGAGGTAATGAATTAATAGATACGGGCAAGTAGATAATTAAGCTGTAGCTCGGGTTTGGGGAGGGGAGGGGAAGGGGAGAGTGAAACACCACAATTCCACTCAGTGCCAGGGAGAAGGTGGGTCCCGGCGAACGTAATTACATGCGGGTAGCTGGATTGGTGTATTTGACCCATGGCAATTGTGGGACCTGTATGAAGTTCTTCTGCGCGCATAAGACCGATCTGCGTAGCCTGATTTCAGCCGCCTCTGCCGCAGCCAACAAGCCCTGTCCAAGTGGTTTTTGGATAGCCTGATGGGACCTTGTAAATCACTCTGAAGGCCTCTCTGGCGTCTACACGGTGGTCTGTGTCTACCACGTGTCTAACAAGAGTAGTGGATTTGCCTCCCATTTGCACTAATATCCCATTCTTTCTATGGTGCGGCCTACATTTCGTCCTAATTTCATATTCATGGCAACGAATTCTTAATTCAGTCGTGCTGATGTGTTGCTAATTCTGTCTTCTAAAGTGCCTATTAGAACCTTAAAAGAAGGAGAAGGCCGGGTGAGAGGTGAGGTGATTATTCATAGACTGATTTTGGACCAAATGCTGCGCACATCGGCCCCTAAGCTGGTTGACTTCACTTGGAACTCGACGATCGGTCAGGATTCATACAGCGCATTCCGAATTTTTTTTATAACTTAATCTTGTTTGAGGGCTGTTACTAATTTGCACAAGTAGACCGCCTGCCAACGGAAATTCGAGACTTTTGTCCTTACGAGGCCGGACAACTGGGCAGTGTTTATAGTTAGCTATAAATAGCTGGCCAAATATTTAATCCTGTCGGGTGTTCTGGACATGTGAATTTACCAAATACCCAGTGTGCTAGCAAATTAAGTGGAGTCTGCGGATCTGCCAGAGGAATTAAGCACAATCGTAATTTGGATGATGGAGTGGACTCTTTGGTGGAAAGAGCAGTCTATTAAGTCATTACCTTGCGTGACCAGCAAGCCGGGATTGCACGACGTCGACGGTGGCTTCCATTGAACAGCGGATGTTCACCGATTTTCTCCAGCCCACTAGGAAGTTAGACATAGAGGCGGTTTCAAGTTATACGCATTTGCTCACTTATACTGTGCCAACGAAAGATGAGCCGACGAAACCCGAACACCCATTCGTCAGTTTATTAGAAACACTAGATTACGATCGCCTGGGATAGGCTCAAGTGATTGGTAAATTGATAGTATCATTTCGTGTCGCAACCACCAACGATTAACACTAGTTGGCACGTTTAAGTGGCACGTGCACGAATGTGCGGCCTCACCAATCGGCACAAGCCATGTCCACGAGCTGAGAGTGACAAACCTGCTTAGCCAATCAGCTTGCAGCTTTTGGCTATGCGCGGCACGCTGCCTTCGGGTGACCGTCCCATTTGCCTGTCTGTCTGCGCTCATCCCACCAAACCAGTGCTCGTTGCGGCACGAAAACATCTCGCAAGAACAAGGTGAGGAACACGCTGGAGATTGGTGTCGCAACTGCTGCTGCTGTTTCTGACGCCGTCACCGCTGCCACCCTCGCTAATACCACCCTCTTACATTCTGTCGCCTGTTGCGCAATAACCTGCGTCACACGACACTGTGAGTACTACTGATTGTGGAATTCATCCTGTCCAGCCTACCGCAATCCGGCTGTTCGCGTACTTGCCTCCCGTCAAGCCCACCAGGTGCGGCTAACAGTGGATTACTCATCTGGCGTTCGTAACCTTCCGCGCACTCGCATAGCCCTTGGATCACCTGTCTACTACTATCTATTTAAGCTTCCCTGTCTCCCACAGGGAGGTTTACCAGCCCTGTGTCCATTGGCTGTTCTGTGGAAATACCGCCTTCGCGAATGTCTGCCGGGGAAGTAAGAGGAGAAGAGCCCCAGTCCACGGCTGAATGTAAGCGGATATATCTGGTTGATGTTAATGCTCCCTTTTTGTGGAAAAAAGCAAGAGTTTGGTTTTCGGTTTTAAGAAGGTAGTTTACGCAGTCACGTGGGCAGGCTGCAGAAAACTGTACCACCTTGGAATAATGCGTCATCGCAAAGGTTGCTGCTTGGGCGGCATTATTCTTTCCACAGTCTGCATCGAAAAATAGTGCACAAATTTCGATAACGCTTTGCAATTTTTTAAAAAAAGACGAAAGAGTACCGGTTAGGGAGGTCGCGCTCAAGTGTAAGGTTAGTAGAGGCGGTTGAAAGGCACCTTCCATCGTACTAAGCAAACAAACAGTTATGGGCACCGGGGATTTGGACTTGCTCAGGTCGACATCGTAAGCTTTCTTTCATTCCGAAGTTTATTGGGCCTTCGACAGTTAGCACTGTCTTCCCCGACAGAGTACACAGCCAAGAAGGAAGCCCTTATTGCCTTTATTACCCTTACAGGGACTAAACAGCGACCGAGAGATCGGTGTGTTGTTCAGGAAAGAGGAGAGTCAGCAGCAGACGTCCGTTGCAATCTTAGGCATGGGGGGGGGGGGCGGGTAAGATGTATTTTGTGAGCACAGAACAATGCACTCAATCACGTGTTCGCAAGCTCTGTTCAGACCAGGCTGGGGCCAGAGAGGGTTCCAATCTACGACGACAATAGGTTAAGACAAGTGAAGCAGTCATTCTGCCGTGTGAGTTACTGTGGCCATATCGGTCGATGGTGAACTCCCCGTTGTCTAAGGCGAAACTTCCAAAATTGCTTCGCAAGATGTGCAAATTAGCCTGGCTGTCTTGAGAAAAAGTGTCGATTCTACCCTTAATAACTACGTAAACTGAAATCGATATGAAAAGAAGCGTGTAAACGTGGGATATGGGGACAGACAGTATCCATCGCCTCCCCTTCCCCCTGCTGAAACACATGTCCTCAGAGTAGAATGATTTCTTCTGATAGAAAAGCTGGGTTAGAGAAGGTTCGTTCTCCTGATGTTGCGGATTTTAGCTCGAACCGATCAGCAGGGACGACGAAGGACTAAGGGGGGGAGGTGGGAGATCTATGAGGCTTAACGCATGTTTACCATAGTCTCTTCAATGAAGTACATGTTCATCAGATCTCATAGACATGCTTTCGGATGCCTTTGTTAAGAGGGGGCAGTTGCTTCCAATTGAATGTCTATCAGCAGGTTTGGTGTCCAGGTGTTAGTGTTTGATTTCTGGTAACCAGAAGAATTATTAATGAGGGTAGGGTATGTGCCCCCCCCTTTGGGTTGATGTTCGAAAATCTATCTTCTCATCCTTCTTAAGTACGTGTGGCTCATAAAGGTTTTCCTGGCAGTAGGTCGCAAAGAGGGCTATGCGATACACGGATGCCGGCTTTAATTATCGTCATTGACGTGAGAGTTATCCGCAGCGAGTTCAGGGGTAGTGTTAAGGCTACGTTTAAGTTGAGGATTAATGTTCGGCTAGTGTTGCCAGGGTTAGATTATGGTTTTGATTTGGAGTTGAGGCTAGGCTTGGGGTTTTGGGGTCTAAGGTTTCAGGCCTAGGGCTGAGATTAGGGTTTCAGGGTTAAGAATAGGGAGTCAAGGTAGGGGTTTTAAGCTTAGGGTTTTAAGGTGAGGGTTTAGGGTTTGGGTTTTCAGGCGCGGGTTAAGGTTGCGGTTACGCTCGAGCTTTCCTAAAGGGCTTACGAGCTACGGGTTAGGGTTACCCATTACAGGCATAGCAATGGTTGTCGTTAGTTTTGTAGCTAACTACAGCCTGCCGAATTATTAAGGGTGAATAGTTGTTGTAGAGCAGCCGGGGATCGGTTGAATATTCCATTAAAAAAAACTGGAAAACGCCCACTATTTCAGAATTCACAGCATTAAGTAGGCAGGCTAGGACAAACAAGGAAAACACGCAGCCAGAAAATGTGCGCTGCTGGCCGGTTTCGAGACTTTGCCCCCCCCCCCGCTCCCTTCCCCCAAGACCCAGGCGCCGGCAAATTTTGTGTAGCCGCATGAGTTTCCTGTTGGCGGTTCTAAGCCGTGTTCTAGGCAATTCAACCACATGAGAGTGGCGTCCAATGATTCATCCTACTCTTGGAGCAGGATACGAGCGTTACGACCAAAAGTGCCTGCCAGTAGTTCCACGGTGTCGAACGATCTCGATATATTCAAGAAATATTTCCGCCAACGGCAACTGGTGGGACGGTGGGCTAGAAAACCGCTACTTCTTCATCTCATAACAAGCCTTTTCTCTTTGTGTAAGTCCCCAAATCGCAAACAGGGTTGTATGGGCTATTTTAAATCTGGAAGTCCGCTTGACAGACGGTTCAACGCGAAGTGGTATATGACCAGAAATTACAGAAGGGATGTTTAAGTACTTAAATTAGGGCCGAATCGGAAAGTGATTAACACGTCGGAACGTCAAACTGCCCATGAGTCTACGCAGTTTATTTTTATGTTTCTTAGACAATGAAGAGAAACAGACAGACTTATGAGGATCTGACGAAATCTGTTAGAAGGGCAGAAAGCCACCTATAATTCTTGAATTATATACCTGCACGTACACAGGCAACTTGACGTAGTTTGTAACATTGAGAATCGACAAAAATATGCTGGCGCCAGTCAGGGAAGTATGAAACTCTCATAACGACATCTAAGTGTTCTCCTCTTCCACTATTCGCCCAGCCGGCGATAGGTTAGAGCATTCGACAGGGTTTCTAAATGTCGGCAGACCTTAAGCCCGAATGGCCACTTTTTCCTCCTGCCATACATCAAAAAATACGGTCCTTGCACCGCTAATTCTGTGGCCCACGGAGACTGAATTGCCTCCACTGTTTCGTTAATAAAACCGCCTTCTCATGACGCCCATTCATTATTGACGAAAATGACGTTCTCGCGCTCACCGCTGAGTATCTGCAAGGACCGGATCCGCCTTGAGTTCTTTTGCTGAAAATTCTGCCCTCTTTAAAGTAAACAAATGCTGTCACAGGAAGTGACGTCATCGGTTGTATTAGCTCTGCATTTTCTTAGTTGGTATAAATGCAATTTCCGCCTATCCCTACACTTGACAAACGTGGCTATTGGGTCATAGTCCTAATCGGGATCGAGCCCCAGGTCTTCCACACTTCGGGGTCAGGTATGACTGGCCGACGACGGCTAATAAGCCAAAAATGGCCATTCCAGTCTCCGTTGTCTTGTCGGTAATACCATTCTCCCTATATCATGCGCCGTTCGAAGAAGGCGTATAATTAGATTTAAAAAAAAGTTTCTAATTATGAGATTTTTTAAGACCGCGCAATACCCATTCATATAGCATCGTATTTCTCCGGTTATCACGGCTTCCCATGAAATGTACAAAATGGTCCGCATCCATTGCACATTTTTATGGACTCTGTATGATATCCTTTTAAATTCAGAGAAGACTGTGATTTTCTTTAAGCGGAACGCATGCACCTTGTAGACTGAAATCGCTAGGCGCTAATTCAACGACTGTTCACGCTCCAAATTAATCGGCAATTAGAAAACTTTCTTTAAAACCTAATTTTACTCCTTCTCCGAGTATAAAATATAAAGATGCCGTGAATCTCTATCAAGCGAACGAAAGAAAACAAATTTTTGTTCGTTGTTTCTCTAAAATATATTTGAATTTGCAAGACCATCGAAAGTCAATGGGAAAAATGCATGCTAATTAAGTAGTCATTTTTTGCCGAGTAAGATTTCTACTGGAGTTTCGAAAGCGGTATATTCAGAAGCTGACATCCTGCCGAGTCCGAAATATCATAGGATTATGCCGCCAGATAACCAGTATTACAACAGAGCCCAAGTAATCCTTCCTTACCGAAAACGCATTTCAGGATTCCAGTCAACATTTCATGAGATCGGTCACTCACTGTACCCTAAAATTCAGTGTGACTGTAGACATCACTTATTATTCACCGTTTCCATTGTTTGAAATCTCCTTCATTCGGGGACTAAATGTAAACTCATACGCGGCGCCTTATTCAAAGTTTGTTATTTTCTAAAAATTGTTTCTTGTCTTTTTTAAATTATCGCTCTCACTTTCTTTGCCAAATGACAGCGGGCGATAAGATTTTCGGCAGAAATTTACCTATTTTATGTGTCTTCTTGCTCTCCGCCCTGTGTGTTGCCCCACCCGTAAAACTCCCTCTACCGCCATTCAACGTATGACACGGTCCACAGGCTAGCTGAAGTTAACTGAG